TCCGGTGGGCGGGGTGATCTGGCAGTCTCCGGTCAGCTAAATTAGGAACCCACCTGGAGCGCCGCCCACCGGAGCAGCAGTGACGCTCGGCGAGGTAAGTAAGAAAAAAAAAAAAAACAGCGCAAGCTTCGGCGCTAGGCATCGGGGCATTTTGCCAAGTACAAGTACTTGTCAAAATACCCTGTATCGGGCTCGATTCAGATGCTAGCATCGGTATCGGGACATCCCATATATATATATATCTATATCTATATCTATATATCCGCTCGTCTGTGACGAGAGGACGGTGGAGCCTGACGAGCAGCTTCCCGGCTGACCGTTGTAATTACACGGCCGGGAGCTTTACATTCAGAGACGCTCGATCGCTTGTATTTGCAGCTGTCACTGCCGTTGCCGGTCCTGAGATCCGCTGTGCCCGATGCGGCCGGGACCGGCACGGCTCTGTGACAGGAGATCAAAGGAAGATCAGTATACCGTCTCCCTTTGAACTTCTCTCAGTCCCCGAATGCAGGAAGTGATGTATATTACATCACTTCCTGCATTCAGTGTCACTCTCCAGCTAAAATTTGTTTTTGTTTTTAAACTTTACTGCTGGGGTCTCTGGGAAATAGGGTTCTTAACAGACCCCTGATATCTCCCTTTAAAATAGAAAAAGAGATTGAGGACACAGAGTCCTCTGCAACCCCTGTTATAATGAACAGGAATCCTCTATACTGAGTGTCCCTGTTCATTCTTAACTTGTGGAGATGGTATGCTTACTATTACACAATCATGAATGAACAGGAAGTGATTTAGAGCACTTCCCATTCATTCATAAGCATACTCTGTCCTCAGGTATTTACAAGCAGTCAGCGATCACTGATCGCTCTCCATCCTGACTCGCTGTCACAGGAGGCTGAGTGGGAGGTGCGGGGAGGAGTCATCTGTAAAAATAGACCAAGCTCTCCTCCCCGCAGCACCCGCTCTGCATACTGTGACAGCGAGTCAAGATGGAGAGCACCTCCGACTTGGCCTCCTGTGGCAGCTGACAGCTGTCACTGCTCTCCATCCTGATTTGTCACAGGAGGCCGAGCGGTGTGGGAGGAGAGCCTGGCCTCCTGTGGCACGCCGCCCACTCACAGCGCTCTCCTCCCCTGCACCGCTCGACCTCCTGGCAGTTTCTCTCCTCTCTGCTGGATTCTGCGCTGTGTCAGAGGGGACACAGAGCAGCACCCAGCTGGGAGGAGAAAAACCAGCCATGCCAAAAGTGCAATTTTCAGCTGATATGTTTCAGCGGCCGAAATTTCGGTGCATCCTTAGCTGTAATGCATAGGCACGGCTGGGACAGTGAATACTTTCAGTGCTGGATATAAACAAGCAACAGAACTGGAAGAGGATGGGTTAGGTTAGGTCTGAGGAAGGGGGCAAAAAAAAAACTGGGTAAAGAAAAGAATCACCCCCCTTTAAAATAATCCTATTGTTGCAGCCTGAAATAAAGACACAGTTTTTGTTTTATCCAGCTGTATTTACTCGGTGCAACTTATAACATCCAAGTGAAAGATATAACACCAGGATGTAAAACAAATTCAGAAACAGAAGCACAGTGAAGTCTATTAAGAAGTGGAAGGTATTTGGTACAACACAGACCCTCCCTGGATCAGGGCATCACTCCAAACTGGATGAAAGGAGGAAACTGGTCAGAGAGGCTACTAAAAGGTCTACAGCAACTCTGAAGCAGTTTCAGGAATTTATGACAGAGTGGTCATTGTGTGCATGTGACAACAATATCATTAAAAAAATTATCCACAAATGTGGCTTGTATAGGAGGGTTCCAAAGAAAAAGCCACTCCTCAAGAAAGGCCACATGCAGTCACGACTGGGCTTTGCCAAAATGCACCTTGAAGATTCTGAGGCCACATGGAAAAAGGTGCTCTGGTCAGATGAGACTAACATGTAATTGTTTGGCCTCAACACCAAATGATATGTCTGGCGGAAATCCAATACAGCTCACCATAACACCATTGCTACAGTAAAGCTTGAATAATATCATGTTATGGGGGTGTTTCTCTGCAGCAGGGACTGGAGCACTCGTCAGGATAGAAGAAAAAATGGGTGGAGAAAAATGGCTTCAAATTCTTGAGGAAAATCTGCTGCCCTCTGCCAGAAAGTTGTCAATAGGAAGAAGGTTTACCTTCCAACATGACAATGACCCAAAGCACACAGCAAAAATGACCACACAGTGGTTATAAGAGAAAAAGGTGAATGTTCTTGCATGGCCAAGTCAGAGCCCAGACTTAAACCCCATAAAAAATCTGTGGAATGACTTGAAGACTGCAGTCCACAAACCGTCATGATCAAATTTAACTGAACTTGAGCAGTTCTGCAAAGAAGAGAGGGCAAATATTGCAATGTCTAGATGTGCAAAGTTAGTAGAGACATATCCCAACAGACTAAAGACTGTAATTCAAGCAAAAGGGGTTCAAGAAAATACTGACACAAGGGGGTGTTCCTTTTTCCAACTCATTGATTCTGAATTTTTTTTTTTCTGACATGTTGGTGTTATAGCTTTCACTTGGATGTTATAACTTGCACTGAGTAAATACAGCTGGATACAACAAAAACGGTGTCTGTCTTCATTTCAGACTGCAAAGCAACAAAATGTGAATATTTTAAAGGGGGTGATTCTTTTCTATACCAACTGTATAAGTGCACTTTGGTTTAAAGGATTAGCACTGTGCGGAATTCGGTACAACTACTAATGAATATGACAGAGCTCAGCTCTCTGTTTTAGTCCTTAATGAGATAATGTTGGTTAATAGAGTGACCGTGGTACACAGGAACAGCTAAGCAGTGTGTAAAGTACCATTCAGCTTTACAATACAAGTCATCCTGGAGCCATATGGAAAGCTTCTTTATACTACAGCGTGTCTCAGCTTTACTTGACACTCGGCAGTGCCAATAGAGGAGACTGGGTGAACGCCACTACTAATGGGACCAGGGAGTGCTCAATATTGAACATCTATTGGTAAAAGATCAGAATGCCGGGTTCTGAGTTAACAAGATCAGGGACTATATGGTCACCTGTCTCCATCTACAGGACACTGTGGAGGCATCGGGATCTGTTTATCCCCTAATATCTCAATAAAAAAGAACCTGTCACCACCTGTAGGGATTCTATATTCTGATTACTAAAGTATTTCTGATATACCTGGGCTTGTTGGAGCTCAGCCTGGTCAAAACATCCTAGCATTGGGAAAGACTGACTCCTAAGATGGAAAAATTAGGCAGGATTCACTCCCTTAGCAGGTTTTTTCAGATCTTCACCCAACCATGTTGTGGCTTTTTAGCTTAAATACTAGTGACCGCTGCTTTAAAACATTGCTTGTACTTTTCTTTCCATATGGCATTCATTGGAGGGAGGGGGGGGAGTGACTTTATTATAACCTACGTCAGTAACCACAACATAATACCTACCATAATACTACCATGGTTGGTCAGGACACCATACATTATATGATTTTATACACTAATACACTCATTTTATATACTCGTTTAGTGTGGCCGGATAAAAATAATTTTGTAAATATTTTGAAAAGGTTTTCCTCCTTCTTTTTAGCTGCTAGCCAAGATGAGATTATAAAGCACTGGCAATGGCTGGAACAAAATGTTATGAAGATACTGTCTGTATTTGACTCGAGTGATGACATAACCAGTTTTGTCCAAGGCAAAATCAGAGTAAGTAAATTCTTAATACACATTTGTTCAGTTAACAGGAATTAATACTAGAGTTTAATGCTTGCATGTGTCTCACAGAATACAAATCGGAGTAGAGTCAAATAATTATCCTTTTTCTGTACTTGAAATCAGGCAGTCAATAGTGGACCACACTTTAAAGATGACTTTACCCATCTGTAGACCCAACCAGGTCTACCGAAATGCAGAATCGACTTAAAGCAGGTCAAATGCACCTGCAGTGAATACTAAAACTATCACAGAAGTGCCTCAAATTAATGTAAAAAAAATGCTATATTTGCCTATTGAAGCACAGACCCTAACACCGATTACTCTGCTGAGGCAATACATATTGGAGAAAAGAGGAGTGTACATGAATCATCTGATAGAGCAGATTATGAAGGTACCATTACATGCTTTAGGGAATGTAAAGGGTCACTTTAAATGAGGGCAATAAAGATGTATTAGAATAAGATTCTAAAATTTGAAATTTAGATTTATAGAAGGTAAGAATAGTTTTTAAAATGCGAAAACTGTTCAAAAGCAATTTACAATTTATCTTCCAGGGGCTCATTGCTGAAGAAGGAAAGGCCTCGTTTATAAAAGAAGAGGATCCTGAAAAATTTCGGGAAGCACTGTTAAAGTTTGAAAAATGCTTTGGATTGCCAGACCAGGAGAAGCTGGTGACCTACTTCTCGTGCAGTTACTGGAGGGGAAGAGTGCCTTGCCAGGGATGGTTGTATCTCAGCACAAACTTCCTAAGCTTCTACTCCTTCCTGCTGGGAGCTGAGAGTAAGTACTTGCACTAAGGAATAGCAAGCTGTTACTGAATAAGTGTTTCTTTTTAAAGACATTTGCAGAAAGTAACTGTTTATAAGTTAAAGTGATACAGATTAGAAAACTGGCGGTAACTAAAGTGACATTAAACCCTCAGATTTTTTAACATAAAACAATACTGTAATGTGTGCCTTACTGTAATCCATGGTTGTGTCCCTTCTCTGCTGCTCTTCCTTTTAAATCTGTATCTGTTCTCATGCTGGGCAGAACTTCTGTTTTGCAGCAGACTGCCTTGTCTCAGGAATGGATATATGGTGTCTGTGTGTACGTTTGTAACCTGAGCCAGCACTACAGGAAGAGGCAGTCAGCTGCAAAGGGAAGTTCTCCCCAAGCATGAGAAGACATGAGGATTTAAAAGGAAGAGCAGCAAAGAGAAGGGAAACTACCATGGATTACAGTAAGGTACACATTACAGTATTGTTTTATGTTAAAAAATCTGAGGGTTTAATGTCACTTTAAATAGTTCATAATAATAATAGTTGTGAAAGCAAAGGTGAAATTTTGTATTATTGCTGTGCTGTAAGCTCAGACGTTCCCTCTTGGCCACATGTACTTATTCAGTTAAAAGGTTAAGTAGAACTGTATTTTTTATACATTTTTACCTTTTTCCAAACTTGCAGGTTTATAAATATTGTATACGGTAGTTTGTATAAAATATTTTTTTTTTTTTTTTTATGATCAAACATTTTGTACAAAGTTCATCCCACAATTGAAAGGGGCAAATTAAATGGCCACAATATACAAAAGGAAGCTATGTTTCTGTCTGTGATTCACCATAAATCGAAGGTTTTGAATTGACACACACACACACACACACACACACACACACACACACACACACACACATATATAAAGATTTTTTTTCTAGTGGCAAAAATGTGTGTATGTATGTATGCATGTATGTATGTATGTGTATATATATACATACATACATACATGGCAATTCAAAGCTCCCTCTATTCTCCTGGGGTGCCAATTGCTTCCATTTAAATGAAATCAAACACATATGCCTGCACTGATACACCTAATTATAGAATTACATGATCAAGGAAAACCACATAGAAATCCAGTACAATAACATACAAGATATCATCTAGCATTTCATAGTTTAAATTCAGATGGAAAAATTAACTCCCTCAATTAGTATTCTGTTGTCCACCTTATTTGTCTGCATCACTTGAAACACTTCAGTAAATGATATGGACAAACATTCTTTCTTTGGTATCCCTTCAATTTATTATATGGTCATTTAATTAAAAATGCATTAATTTTTTTCTACATCCTGCAATTCTCATTTTCCAAAGCATACTGAGTGTTTTAGAAAGAGCTTTGCCTGTATGTACTGTGTGTGTACCTAAATCAGAAGAACTCCAGGATTTAAACTATGCTTCTCACTCATCCTCATAGTTCTAGCTGACCTGTGACAATGAAACTGTCACAGGTCGGCTCAGTAGATCGGGAAGTGAGCGAACACATACCGGCATTCGCTCACTTCTCGATCCTGTCACGGCACAGAGCCGTGACAGGGGAGAGACTGGATTCCCCCCTCCCCGCTCCGATCCCCCAGCGCTGACTGTTGGAACGGATGGGGGAGGCGGCGGGTACAGTTGGCTCTGCCTCTAGATAGGCAGAGTCAGCTGTCACTCACGCAGGATGCAGTAAAACAAGTAATGTCCAGTAGTTGTTGTTTTAACCATTCCTGTCTCTAAATTGCTTCAGAATGCCTGCAGACCCTTTTTAACTCGCAAAATGAGTTGCTTGTGACCAAACTGATTGAATTTTTTATTTAGTCAAGCTCTAATGTATTCTCTGCTAATTGCATAACACACTTTGATTGTGATATTTTTTCTGTCTGATTTAAAAATTGTACTTTTGCAACAAAAAGAATCCAAAAAAAAGTATTAATGTTGTGCACAAAGATCTGTTGATATTTATGTGTATTAAGTATTAATGTTGTGCACAAAGATCTGTTGATATTTATGTGTATTAAGTATTAATGTTGTGCACAAAGATCTGTTGATATTTATGTGTATTAAGTATTAATGTTGTGCACAAAGATCTGTTGATATTTATGTGTATTGTTCTACTCCAGTTAACCTGATCATCTCATGGGATGAGATCTCCAGACTGGAGAAGACCTCTACAGTTCTGCTCACAGAGAGTATCCATGTTTGCTCTCAGGGGGAGGACCATTATTTCTCTATGTTCATGCACATTAATGAAACATTCCTCCTAATGGAACAACTGGCCAGCTATGCTATCGGAAGACTTTTTGATAAGGAAACATTTGAAAATGATCCAATACTGAATGATCCTCAACAAATCACAAAAAGGTAAGTGTTGCCATCAAGAATAACTACAAGGAGACCTGCACCTTTTTAAATTAGCTTTGAGCCCCCTATTCTTTTGACCTACTGTTTGTAGCGGTGCCTTGTTTAATCTTAATCTTGAAATGAAAGAATAGATCCGTTAATAGCTTCATGTAGTGCTTTCTTATTGTTTCTAATATCAGAATGGCCTGTTTTCAAAGAGATTTGCTAGAGGAGCGTTAAAAGGCATCAGCCATCTAACCTAACTTGTAGGAAATAGTAAAATGGGATAAGTGAATACAAGTTGTGAAACACACCTTCTTCCAAGTCCTCAAGTCTACCCCTAGAAAGGCTCTAACCTGAGACACTTGAAGAAGTTACATCTCTGTCTGATATATACCTTCATAGACTGTTGAATGTTTAGAATGAAGTTTTACCTCTGGTAAGCTCTCATCTTACTAGGAGGTGAGATGCTGAAAGACAGTCCTGTCTGTCTGCTAAAGAGTATCAGAAAAAGGGATCTGCTTGTATCTATTATGGGCACTGGGAGACATAATGAATATTAATAACTGCTCCTCAAGGATTCTTTTTACTCAATGATTAAGAAGCAATTTACCTTTGACCTTTAATCCTGGAATGGGCAGCAAATTCATACTAAAATTGACATTAGTGCAGTATCTGTTCTCACCAAACCAGAATGAACAACATAACCATTTAGTTCTCTTAAAACATGAACTATTGACCAGTCTGAATAAATAACACACCCTTCTGATACTCCCCACTAGAGGTCTGGAAAGCCGTGCACACAGTGAGCGTTTTGCTACATACTTCAGACTGCCCAAAGAAGAGACGTTGAAAGAGGTGCATGAATGTTTCCTATGGATACCCTTCAGCCACCTAAATACAGTGGGGAAGATGTGCATTTCTGAGAACTACATTTGCTTCGCTAGCCACGATGGCAACCTTTATAGCACAATCATACCTTTACGAGAGGTAATAATGCTTTGAAGGAAATCTTTCCTCAGTGATGAAATGAAAGTTACAGTGATTAAAACAATCTGTAAAATGTTGGGTTTTTTATCATTTATGTACTGGTAACATATTTCTGTTGGATATTTCTTTCCAGGACAGCATGCAACCACTTTTGCTATCTTGATAGCCTTTCAGAAGTGATTGATAGGCTTCCAAATGCAGTCCTCTACTGAAGCCCACAGTGGAGGAAATGTCAACACGCCTGCGGGAATACCCGACTGCTGTTGACATATCCAAGGATTTAAAGCAGACCTGTTGCAATCTTGGGCAATTTAAATTGTGCTTGTAATAAAAAAATGGATAATCTTCATTGAAACCTGGATGGCAAACAGACCCATAGATTCAGTAATAGAGGTAGTTGTAGTTATATGTAAATCTCAACTTTTCTTGTGGAGCCAAAAGTCCATCTTGCTCCCCTCCAGCCTCTCATGCCTCCCTATTGGACATAGTCCTGCTCTTACCAATCCTCCTAACTAGTCTTTTATTGTGATGAGCAGTCTAAGTGTGACTTTTTTTACAGGAAAAATCAAGATTTGAATACCAGTTCAGTTGTTTATATCTCTGGATGTGCTTCATTTTTTGACATGTGGTTTTTGTCTGACAGTAATGTTATGTAAAGTGGTTTACATAAATCACACATTCACTATGGCTTGTTTAGACAAGTGATAATCAACTTATGATTATTTACGTGGTATATCTTCCCACGTTAGAAGAATCTACATCCATTGAAACACCATATAACCGTACATATATACAATACATGCATTTGCCTCAGCGGGAATCAAAACAGAAATCCCAAACCTGCAGGACAGCTGTGTTAGTGTATCTAAAGCCACATTTTTTTTAAAATTCTGGATAGAGTAGAAGGTGGTTAAAAAGGTTTTCTTGTTTTTATTACTGCCTGATTCCCCACTGGGGAGATTCACCCTCTTTGTCCTAATGATTATTGTCGCTGGGGCTGAAATTTAGGGGGGGAAAAAAAATCTAAATTTTCCATTAAGTTATCAATGGGTTGGGAATAAGGATGGGCTCAGGCATGTTCGTAGCTCTACGTGCTGAGCCCGCCATGAAGCTGACAGCCTGCAGCGCCAATAACCGACACTGAGACATTTTCCAATAGGGACACATTCCAGTGACAAGCATGTTCTTAAATCGGATTTCCCTTATTTTGGAGAGATCTCTTCTCACTTCCTGTTGTGTCTAGACACAGAAAGTGAGAAAAAGTCTCCCCGAATGAGATGCAGAGAAATAAAAAAAAAAGATCTGGAATATACTTTACATACTGTGGCATTGTGTCGTCTTGTTCCATATTATTGCTGTTATTTAGATTTTTTTTATGGAAGTGTCTTACATTTACAAGAGCACATTTATATTTGCAGATTACCGGATTAGAAAGGACTGATGTGGCAACAAGGGCTATCACCATTAGCACAAAAGGGAAGAATATATTTCGTTTCACAGATGTTCGAGACTTTGAATCTTTGGTGGCAAGATTGAGGTCAAGATGTGCAGTAACAAGTCCCCAGCACACAGCATACAGTGAGGTAGCCTGGAAATAAAACAGCTCACAATAACTATTGTTCTAAGAAAGCATAAATGTAGCGTTTGACATTTGGATTGTAATTAGAGGTGCACCAAAATGGAAATTTTAAAACCGAAATAAAAAAAAAATGTTAGGCCGAAACCGATACCGAAAATGTTTTTTATTTTTTTTCAATTTTTTTAATATTTTATTTTTATTTATTTTTTATAAACTTTTACATTTTTTTATATTTATTTTTATTCATTTTTTATTAAATATTTTTAAATTTTTACTTTTAGGGGCTCCTGGGAAATATTAGGGGGCTAAACAGACCCCTGATATTTCCCTTTTAAAATAGAAAAAGAGATTGAGAACACAAAGTCCTCAATCTCTTTTTCTGTGTCCCCTGTTATCAATGAACAGGAATCCTCTATGAGTCTTCCTGTTCATTGATAACATGAGAACATTGTTTGTTTACTATAACTACAATTATGAATGAATGGGGGTGATGTAGATCACTCCCATTCATTCATAATTGAGGATATAGTTAACATACCATATTCTCAATTATGTACACACACTCAGCGATCACTGATCGCTGAGTGTGTGTACCTTGCTCTTCTCTCTGACACGCTGTCACAGGAAGCTGATCGAGCTGTGTAGGGAGAAAAGCCCAGCCTCCTGTGACAGCGCTGTCTCCGCCCCCACACCGCTCTGCCGGACTGTGATAGGCGGCAGAGCGTTGTGGGAGGAGACGCCGGCCGTTCACAGCGCTCTCCACCTCAGGAGGAGACGCTCGGCCGGCTGTCACTTTCTCTTCTCCCCGCTGGGACATAGAGCAGCGCCCAGCGGGGAGAAAAGAAATCACGGATGCGCCGATGTATCGGCAGGAAAATGGCTCTTTCGGCATTATGCCAAAAGTGCCATTTTCGGCCGATATGTTTCGGCGGCCGATATATCGGTGCATCCCTGATTGTAATAAATAATGATGCATTGTGTTTGTGTGTTGTGAATATGTTTTTACTTTTACTGCGTGTGTGTTCTACTCTTATCATGCATTCAGCAGTGCTGAGTTACATCCAAGATGTTTACATTTTTATTGGAATGATTATTGCCAAAGGATCAAGGATGGCTATTGGAAAGGCCAGCAGCTTAACTGTCACATAATTTAATCATACCATTTCTTGTAGGGCAAAGGATTAGTGCCTGGATAAAAAACTAAACTACTCCACATGTAGTTTATGCTCCCTGCGTGCATCACAAGGTTAAATAAAGTGCGGTTTTTAAAGCCACCTTGTTTGAGAAGGCAGTGTTTTAAAGTACACAATGTATGTAACGTATGAGCCTTTTGTAGCATGACTCCATGACATACAGTGGGGTTATCAAAACTGGAGCAGACAATATAAGGAGCAGATTTGCTTGGCAACCAATAGGCTTCTCTCTTTCATTTTCAAAGCTTAACTGAGCAAACTGAAGAGAGATGCTGATTGGTTGCCATGGGCAACTGCTCCAGATTCTGCCTGCTCAAGTTTTGAACACTTCCCCCCAGTATGTTTTAAATAATCCAGAATTTGCTTCCACAGCACTAGCAACAACTGTCTGCTACAGACTTTACAAATGCGACCACACTAGACCACCACTTGAGGTTCAAACATAGGAAGGCTGAGACAGTGAAGGCTCTCATGTATTGTGCAGCCCACCATAGTGCATCTCCAGGGCAATGTTTTATGATTGTTTCAATATACGTATTTATACAGGGGTTTTTTTTTTTGGTTTTTTTTTAGACTGGCTACATTCCTACTGCAGCAGAGTTCCCAGAAAAGCATCCTATGGTGGGTCCAAAAGGCACTAGCAAGACTGTGAGCACAGAAGCCCTAATGACTGTGTTTCATCCTCAGGATGCAGAGAACCTTGATCCAATAATGGTATGGAAACATTTACATACTCTGATTTATTGTGAAGACAGATAACCAATATTGTACAATGTATTTTGAGGTCCTTTTTCTTCATGTTAATTGGTTGCATGTGGTGGAGTATGAGTGTTTGTAGCATGACCACTGTAACACAACTTTATCATTTGGATATCACCGCTAGTCTAACTATAATTTGATGTTTTTTAAATGAGGCTTGGTTATCCTCTTGCAATATAAAACTGTTGCAGGGTCTGAGAAATGTTATCTTCTAAAAACTGACCTATACAATCTCCATTTTTTAAAGTTTACCCACCTGGTAAGTTATTTGTGTCTTTTGGTTCTGGAATTTTAGAATATATATTTCTATATTTGAATATTTAATTGCAAATCATCTGTTGTACTCAAAAATCATACTTTCAATGTAAGAACTGCAGTTTAGGATTCTTCCTTCTGAAATGTTGAAGTGAGCTCAAAAACAGCATCAGTAATATAATACATAACCCTAAATGTTTCCGCAGCTGAAAGAAAAAATGAAGGAGCAGTCTTGGAATATTCTGTTCACGGAATGTGGTCGTGGCATCAGCATGTTTCGTACCAAAAGAACTAGGAATTTAGTTGTTAAGGGCATTCCCGAGGCTTTGCGAGGAGAGCTTTGGTTACTTTTCTCAGGTAAAGGTTACTTTTTTTAAGTTATTCACATTGTGAACTACTACTTCTCCAAATGTGGAACTATATATCCCTTTCTTGCTGCTGCTGTTTAATGCTGAAAAAGTTTTAAATACACATTCTGCTAATATTCTTGTATTGTAACTCGGATATGAGGGCTGATTGGAAAGAGATAATTCTAATCTTGGAGAACAACCAGTGAATACAGCGCAGATGAGATATTTTTTAGTATGTTAACAAGCGGTCCGATAGCATTATTACCAAGAACCTATCTGTTATATGGCTGCTTCCGCCTTCTGCACTGAAATTATATATTTTAAGGATTATTTGATATGTAGTTGTATCATTATTACTTATTGGCAGGTGCAGTTAATGACATGGCAGGTAACCCAGGCTACTATTCGGAAATTGTGGAAAAGTCTCTCGGCACTTGTACTCTGGCAACTGATGAAATCGAGCGAGATTTGCGCAGATCACTGCCAGAACATCCAGCGTTTCAGAGTGACACTGGCATCTCTGCATTAAGAAGAGTGCTGACAGCATATGCATACAGGAACCCTAAAATTGGATATTGTCAGGTTAGTTCATTTCCTCATATATGCTCTGAAGATGCTTGTAGGAGCACAAAGGGTATTTTTATTACCATGTGCTATGCAGATCTTTTGTTTGTGTCCTAATTCTGTTTAAACAGGATATGGTGTGATATGTCAGCCAACAAGTACTAGAGCCTCCTGGTTAAGGTGTGTTGTATCATATTAATTGTTTATTAAGTAGAGGCAGGAGGTTAAGGAACCTGGCATGTACTTGTATTTTATTTCTTGTGCTGTTCAGAAAAGCATAGCAGATATACAAGTGTTCCTTGGTATGAACTGTATTTTTACGGTGCACACAAATGTGACTGCGCTGCAGTTTAAAATGGAACTTGGCCATTTCATTATTGTCCAATTTCAGCATAGGCTAAAAAAAAGTAAACATCACTTTCCAGCCTCTTAACATAAAGATACAGCTTTGGCTACAGTCCTCACATCTTCTTCTATAGCGCTGTGCCTCACATAATCGTTTTGTCACACATTGAGTGCTGCTTATCTTCCTGGTTAAATGATGTCCAGTGTCATTCAGCCAATTTCCTGTGAGCTCAGGGTGTCCAGGGCCCATCCTTACAGGAGAAGGCTACAGAGAGCAGCATCATGTCATTACATGGAGTTGATCTCTGCAGCATTTAGGATCTGCCCACCTCTGGAGGGTGAAGAGGACCTGTGACATCACCAGACCAGACTAAAGACACCTGGAAAAAAGGTGATTGATTTCTGCAAGGGTACAGGGGTGCTCCAAGGGTTGGGGGAGGCTGATAAGAGGGCACATATTATTTATTTGATAGAAAATGCATTGTATGATTTTGAGTGAAAATCTAAATGGATTAAATGCTGTTTTTTTAATATGTGACTGGAGTTCATCTATAAAGCTTAACCTACTATGAAATAAGTCCAGGCATGCCTTGCACTTTGCTGATTAGTTGTTGAGGTTGCTCAGTTGCTGCCTTTTTGTGTAGCATTGGTAATTCAGCTTGATAACGCAGAACAGTATCTTGAGATATCAGGCAACTCTATTAATTTCTTACGATAAGTAGTCTTTATTGTTCATTTCTTTGGATTAGGTTACATCCCCAACAGATTGGGTTATGTTTTTCTTCAGCCTGATGCTTGTCAGCGGGAATATAAGGACAATTGGCAGCGGATGTAAAACATGATTATTTTGTCCTTGCTTGTGTTTTCCCAGGCAATGAATATTCTCACTTCTGTCCTACTTCTGTATGCCAAAGAGGAGGAGGCGTTTTGGCTGCTAGTGGCTGTGTGTGAACGAATGCTGCCAGATTACTTCAACAGGAGAATTATAGGTGAGCTTTGTCTGTGCGTGCTGTGTGTGAGAATAAGGTTAATATTTGTCTGGTGTGAAGATCGTGTTTAAGTGTTGCTTAAAATGCTTTATATTCACAGAAGTAATTGAACTCTGTAGATTTAAATCAGTTGCCCTATTTTCTAAAGCTAGCCCCAGATGGGCAGATTTCAAGTTTTGCCTTTCCTCCTTAAGGAAGAACTCCGGGCAGACATTTTATTAACCCTTGCAGTGGGGCTACCCCTGCATTGCAAGGGTTAGCTGCTCCTTTTTGCCTAGAGTAAAAAGAAAAACAAAGATTTATACTCTCCTTATCCTCTGAGATGGCTAACTCTTAGACCAGTCCTTCCAGCGTCTCAACTCCTCCGCTGCAGCAGTCATCACGTCCAATAAAGTGTATAGGATGTGGGGAAGCTGAGGGACATACCATTGCTGCAGCGGAGCTGGAGACATGCTAAAGGGAGTGCTGCCGACTCTAAAGATCAGGTGAGTATGACTTTTTTTTACCCTATACAAAAACGAGCATTTGACCCTTGCAGTACAAGGAAAGCCCCCTCTGCAGGAGATAATAAAATGTCTGCCTCTCCTTTAATCTTCCTGGCGGTAATCCCGAGTGTGGTTCAGGGTTAATTTTCAGTACCAAAAGCGGTAACCCCGAGCCACACTCGGGATTACACTGTAACGTCACTTACCTTGTCCATACGAGCCCCGCTGTGTCCTCCGGCCGATGCCGGCATCCGTCTTCCGGGTTCCGTCCCTTGCGAGCGCCCGTGTCGAAACCGGTGGGAAATTTAAAAGTTAAAAACTGAAAACAAAAAGAAAAAAAAACGGAAAAAAAATACTAAGATAATCAGACCGTCAGGGAGGTTAAGGGACTCTGCAGGGATGTTTGTGATATGCCTTTGAATGTGATCAGCTTCATGTAAATGTTGTTAATTTTTTTCCCTCAGTGTTCATTGGAGGACTCAACAGACCTCTAAGAAATATGCCCTGGCTCTAGGTGGTTGGATACTAATCTAAAGCAGAAAGACATAGCTGCTCCCTGTAGTTTTTATACCAGTCTGTACAGGAAGTGATTAGAGCTTAAGTTTAGCTTAACCTGTGTCCTAGGCCTGTATCTCTCCCTGGATAGTTGATGGATCAACACAAAAAATAAATGTTTACTTCTAACCTGCATGGAATACAGCTCCTGGCAGTCACACCATACACTGAAGTCCTGGAGATTCACAGCCTCAGCTTAGCACCAGTGCTTGGTGTCTCACCATGTGTACTCACTGATAGTACACCATAGTCACCCCTAAAACACTTTAAAAATACTTTGGCTGTGAAAATGATGGGGTGCCATTGTTGAACTTTTTATGAAAGTGCTAGTTGCCTGGCAGTCAGGCTGATCCTCTGACCCTAATGAGTTAACCCTCCTCCCCAAAAATCCCCTGGCTGCACTATTGTAGCTTCCAGGAGCTGCTGTCCTGAAAACCCAGATCCCATTCTCAGTTCCAGTGTCTGTAGGAAACACTAACAGTGTCTTCTGGCTCATTAATCAGCACAACTGCTGTTATTACTGATAAATGTAATGTAATCATATCCTTATTTCCTGCAGCCGCCATTGCCAGCAACATGTACTTGCTAGACATTGGCTGAGCATTGAGGCCAGGCTTGTAGTGGAAGTGCCTATTACTGGAAGAGATGCCAGAAATGGGGGTAGCTGCAAATGTTGACATCCCCCTATGCAATACAGTCCCATAGCACAGCAGGGTCAATATTAACTATTTACAAATCTTTGTCAGGTAAAATATACTGCATAAATGCTTAAACTGTTTATTTAACCACTTGAAGAGCGGGATGTTTAACCCCCTTCCTGTCAAGGCCATTTTTCAGTATACAGCGCTGAGGTACTATGATGTTTATTCAGTCATGCAACGCTGCACTGCAATCAATTTTATATTATTTTTGTGGAATAGATGGAGCTTTCTTTTGGTGATATTTAATTAGGGCTGCAACAACTAATCGACATAATCGATTATCGAAAAAGTTGTCAACTTTTTCAATCATCGATTAATCGGCTTCCGATTTGGTTGGCCCTGTTCACGGCTCCACACAGCTGCACGCCACACCTCCTCCCCACCTCACGCTCGCCGCCAGATCCACCTGCCCGCATCCACAAGCCACACCTCCAGAAGGAGGAGGGGGTGGGGGGGGATGACGGCCGCCGATAGACAGGCCCGATCTCAGAAACAAGTTGCTGGAAGACTGCTCAGGTAAGCCTACGCTTACCCCCCACATGGTGCTCTATAATGTATTGCTGGGATTTGTATTCCTCTATAGCTGATGGTACATTGTGCTGTATATTATACATGGGCATACAAATCCTAGCAATACATTATACACTGTATGTATAATGTTTTGCTGGGATTTGTTGTATTCCCATATAGTTGGTGGTATTCTGCATTGCACTGTATAGAGGACTACAAATCAAGGAATAATACATTATACAGCGCAATACCACCAGCTATAGAGGAGTACAACAAATCCCAGCAATAGTACATTATACAGTGGTGCAATGCCGAATACCACTCGCTATAGAGGACTACAACACCCAGCAATACTACATTATACAGCACAATGCAGAATACTACCAGCTATAGAGGACTACGAAACCCAGCAATAGTACATTATACAGCGCAATGGAGAATACCGCCAGCTATAATGTACTATTGCTGGGTTTTGTAGTCCTCTATAGCTAGTGGTATTCTGCATTGTGCTGTATAATGTACTATTGCTGGGTTTTGTAGTCCTCTATAGCCGATGCCATTCTGCATTCATTGCTGTATAATTTTACACTTTTCAATTCACTATATTGCACACCTCACTTTTTTTTGTTTTTGTTTTTTACTTCCACCGCTCCAAGCTTGCTCCTGTGATGGACTACAATCTCAATACAAACTAGTAGTCCATCACTGGAGCCATTTTTTAAAATGTATTTTATTTTGTAATTTTTTATCCGATTAACCGATTCATCGAACTTAATAATCGGCTAACTAATCGATTTTGAAAATAATCGTTAGCTGCAGCTCTATATTGAATCACCATTGGGCTTTTTATTTTTTACAATATTAAGAAAAAAAGTACCGAAAATGTTGAAAAAAAAACCCATTAACATTTATTATTACCCATTTTTTGGGAAAATATAAAATATGGGGTCACATTAGGTAATTAGACACCAAGTTTTAAAATTGTGTGTGCCGGCCAAAATCGTAAAAACTACCATACCCAAAATTAGATGTAGGCGAGGCTTTAAAAGCATTTACGGCTCATCAAAATTTAGTGTTAAGTGATTAATGGCCCTAGAATTATTGCTTGTACTCCAATGTATGCGGGGATACAGTATGTATCTTATGTGGTACAATCATCGTTTTTGCATGTAGGTTCACCCAATGCGTGTTTACGTTTATATACGTGTGTGTGTGTGTGTGTGTGTGTATGTGTACGTAGGGGTGGGAAACGTAAAAAAAAAAGTGTGTGCTTTTTTTTTTTATGTGTCTTTTAATTTTTTAATTTTTTTTTTACACTTTATTGCTATCACATAGGGGACTACCAAGCACAGTGTCCCAGTGATGACAACATCAGATCAGAAATAGATTATGTATAGAAAAAGGTTTTATTTAAAACTATCATTAGCATGTTGATGAAGGGTTAGAGATGTTTCAGGGAAGACCAAATATAAGCAGATTAAACAACATTTTGCTTTAATGTTTTGTCTAGAGTCACACCTCGAGTTGCCAAAAACCTAAATGTATGGTATTTTTGGGACATCTAAAGGTTTAGTTGACACTTTGTGAAAATGATTTCCTTTTCATGGGTAATGGACCTGTAAAAATGTGTGAAACTGATGTTACACACACATGTTGCTTGTGATTTTCTTAGATAGCGGCTCCATAACATTCAGTCTTCTAGATTTTCTTTGGTGATGTTTGTGCTGTTCAGTGTATGATGACATTAACATATAACGAGAGTTGTATCTGCTTTTATTTCTTCTGTTTTCTTGGCAGATTGATCAGTATTAATACATGTTCATTATATTGTAGGTGCATTGGTGGATCAGGCAGTATTTGAAGAACTCATCAGGGATTATTTGCCCCAGTTGACTGATCACATGACGGACATGACCTTTTTCTCCTCCGTGTCCCTCTCATGGTTTCTTACCCTATTTATTAGTGTCTTGCCTATTGAGAGTGCCGTCAATGTGGTGGACTGCTTCTTTTATGATGGGATCAAAGCCATCCTTCAGCTTGGACTGACTGTTCTGCACTTTAACATTGACAAGCTGCTGGTCTGTAAAGATGATGCTGAGGCCGTCACTATACTTAACCGGTATGTAAATCATTATTGTATACCGCTAATGCTGAACTCCAGGCACAACAACTTTCATATAAGTATTTCTCAATAGCCACAAAGTATATAAATCCGCTTTGTGTGTATCAAGTGCATTTGTAAACCATGCTATTACCTTGTTAAAGTAGCAGTGACATCATTACTGTGCTGCACATAGCCTGTGTAGAGAGCAAAGCTGTGGGAGGGACCCTGTAGGCCTACCCACAGGAGGGGGGATTGGTCACCCTGCATAAGAAGAGAGTGCAGTAACGACAGGTCTTTATAAAAGAAAGCTCCTACAGAGGTAAGGTTTCACGCTGAATTACTGCACAGATCTAGAAGAAATACACAAAGCACTCGCACATTAAAGTAAGAATTCATATGTCTCTTGTATTTAGACAATTTTTGCTTTTCCCCGAGTTCAGCTTCAAACCTAATCTAAAGCTAAAAACAAAAATGTAATATATTGCAGCTTACCAGTCCTTGGATGTGAACATTTTCCGCAAGAACAGAAAACACCTGTTGATCTTGCCAGACATGCCGTGTCCGCATCCCCTTGTGTGAACTAAAAAGACATGATAAACAATGTTATCTGTCTGTTGTAAACTACTAGTCCCATGAATCCGTCATGTAATGGGGATGAACAAAGGAAGACTTGTTTGAAGCCCAGCCAGTGTTACAACCATGGATTCCTTCATAGACACAATGGAGAAATGTATGTAGACACAAATTGACAGGAAGTGTGTTATTTGCAGGATCACCAGGTGAAAATTAAGAGCACAATTCCTGAAAAAAAGAAAACTAATGCAGCCATCACATCTAAGGACTGGCAAGCTGCAATATATTACATTTTAGTTTTTAGCTTTAGATGCGCTTTAAAGCTGAACCCCGGGAAAAACAAACATTTTCTAAATACAAGAGGCATGTGAAATTTTGTTTTTGGGTTTAGATATGCTTTAGAATTAATTTCCCCAATACCGCCATTTCTACAACGTCTCCAAAATAAAAGTTCATTTCCATCTAGATACATTTTGTAGTTTGCAGTATACCTTTTTTTTCTTCTCGAAATCGCTTTTAAAGGTTTCTTTTGCCTGTTACACATGTTCCCCTGCGATGTTTGCCTCTCACAGTGCTTCCTTGAACTTCCAGTCTAGGAACGCGAATACAAGCACCATCTGAAAACATGACATCACGCATACATGTCTCATGAACCTTTGCGCATGTGTATTGCATGCTACTGCTTCAGACACTGGTCAATGAACAGCTGGTGGGCAAAGTAGATGTCATCTGTGTAGCTGAGCTTGTCTACGCACACTGTGGCTTTCTGTCCGTCTGTAGCACGCACCTCACGGTGTCTATTCTGGGGCTCCGTAGAGACCCTGCAAATGACTGTTGTCACCCACGAATTGGAAGTTTGTTTCAGCAATCCTCTCTGGCGGTTGGAGGCCCACTGATGTCATCACATCTGATACAGGACCCATAGTCCTGTATTATATGGGAGGACGCCAAGGGACAGTCCACAAGCCGGAACATAGGGGAGAGAGGTGAGCACCGACTGTGAGGGGAGCAGGGATCAAGTAAGTTAAAGTCCTCTACACAATACCACCAGACATAAATGAGCAGTTAACCCTTGCAGTGTGGAGGTAGTCCCATTGCATGGGAAGATAGGCTTTAATATTGCAAAAACATTATTTGTTTTGCATGAGTGGTGGGCATTGTAACGTCCTTTACAGTTTTGACGTGAAGCTTCAGTGGTCCAGGTGATGCCCAGGTGAAGACATTGAGCTGATTCATAACTCCAACAAGCAGTAGTTCAGTTGACATTGGTAGTCGTTGCCTGCAGAAACGTCATTGGGCTGCATGGGGTGTCCTAGTATAGTACACAGAGTGCTTTAATAGTCTGTTACCCTAAACAAAATTAAAGGATTTAGTAGATTTTAACAAAAATCTACGATAGCAGTTATATGACTATATGATATGGGCAACTAACATTCAACTGTCTCCAGGTTCTTTGATAATGTTGTCAACAAGGACAGCCCTCTGCCTTCATCTGTGCAACAAGCATCTTCTGCCTCTGAAAGAAAAGGCAACAGTGTGAAAGTGAATATTACAGACCTTATCAGGGAATCCAATGAGGTATGTTTTCTTCAATTCATTGCTGTCATTTTTAGTACATTTTTCAGGGGGTGACCAAGTCACAGGACAACTTTCCCTGGTGGTAAACGTTTTTTTACTTTTGTAGAGATTTGGAGCTATTCGTTATGAGGATGTAGAAAGCATGCGTGCCAGAAACCGGCTGTATGTCATCCAGACTTTAGAAATGACAACTAAACAAAACGTGGTATGTACTACCGGTATATGTACTTGGCACAAGTAATACATTTGTATAAGTGCACTGAGTGACGCGTTATTGAACTTAAGGATGCACTAAGTGATAAACTTAACAGAACGTCCAGGTCTACTACATGTGTTGCAAATATTTTAGCAAACTTTTATTGTTGATTTCTACATGGTTTCAGTGTAGGAAATTGGTTCTTTAACTCTTTCGCTGCCAAGCCCTCCGGAACATTTTGCAACTCAGCAGGCCAGGCTAATTCTTGCTGTTTTCTGGTGCAACAACAAAAAGTCTTATACTCTATTCAATTTTCTTTTAAACCCCATAAAACTATATATTGCTTTAAAGAAGACATCTTCAGGGATCCAGATACTGCACTTAACCCATCATCTTCCACAATATAGACCTAGAAATTACATGAAAAATGCAAAATTTTAGTGGAAAATAAGAAAAATTTGATGTAAAAGGTAAACAAAATTTAGAAACTATGTAAAATCTGTGCTAAAATATGTCAATACATAATGACTACCAAATGTTTTTATACATACTTGTAAATGTGTGCTTTCCCGCATTCAGTTTGGTAAAAAGTCGCCATATTCGTAGATGCGATATTTTCCATTAAGCTGCAAATTTCAAGCAAATGACATGTTAAGTTCAGCATGGTGTAAGGACCCCCAAAACTCTTTCTATCCCCCAAACCCATATATTTCCTGAAAGCAGAGACCTGAAGGTAGCTAAAAATCTTGCCATTTTTTTCACACTTTCTTCTAGTCTGCCGCCATTTTAGCGCAAATGTGGAAATTTGACCAAAAAAAGGCCAAAGTGTACATTTACCAC